CTGAATCAGCAAGGCTCCAGCACCCACTGGCCCTCCTCCTCCACAGCTCCTCCCCCACCATGGCGATGGAAGAACGGACAGTGCCAGCCTGACCCACTGGAGGCTGCTGGCCCTGGTGCTGCCAGTACCCTGGTGCTGCTTCTGTGAATTAGGAAAAGTTGTACTGCCCCAACACTTTTCTTGCATTCCCCCCAAAACCAGTACAATAAATTCACAGGCCTATGGAGTCCTGGATATACAAAGTGACTCTTCATGGAACCCCTTTGCAACTGCCCCCCCCCACCCCAACCAGTGCTGACCCTGAGCATCTCTCTGATGCCTGCTTCAGGGAGCAGGGCCGGTTCAGTGGGGCACCCTCTGCATGCATCCTGTCTGAATGCCCCATGATCACTTTACACAAAGAGGTCTTAGAGTAATGGGGTAAGATGATCATGCATTTCCCGTGAGGATAGGGAGAGGTTTCCCCGTGAAGATGAATACTTAGCTAGTATTTAGGAGAATGCCGCACTGAATATTGATCTACACTTAACACATCGTTGTTGAGTTATGGGGGCAGATGTGGTATCATGAAACTGAAGAGCTTCTCCTTTCTCACATTGCCCACATGCAGATGAAGATGATGTGTTGCCATGTCCGCTATAGCCTTCCTCTACCTGCAGAGCCATGCTGAGACCACCCACACTGAGACTCCTTGCAGGGGATGACATTCGGTGGTTCCTGTCCTTCTGCTCACAGTGTCAAAGGGGGTTTGGGCCCCCGGGGATTCCCAGGCAGTCTCATGAGATGATAGCAGCTGAGCCCTGTAAAAAATACTTTAGGAGCACTTGGGGACAGCCTGTTGACAGACACCAAGAGTAGCTAGACCCTGATGGCAGGATTTTCTGCTGGTGATGGTCCAAAATGAGTCCTAGAGCAGAAGGTTCCCGGGGCAGGAAGCCACTGCAGACAGTCTCTCTGAGTGAAATGTGTGTATGTGTGGAGAATGAGGGCAGAGAGTGGGAGGGATTCTTGATCTCTTGGCAGTGGGATTATGGCTGGTTTTATTTCTTTAAATTCCTCTGCACTTAGTTGTTGGTTTTTTTTGGGGGGGGCATGCTGTAGCTCAGGGGCAGAGTCCTTGCCTTGCATGCATGAAGTCCAAGATTTAATCTCCAGTACCGTACCAAAAACGGGGGAGGGGGGAGCACAACACCCTTTTAAAACAATGAGTATGTGTTACCTTTAGAAGTGGGAAAATCTATACACACAACTTAAGTTATATCCGTCAGTGGATAATTTCTCACTGTTGCTCAGAATGTTGTGTATATAAATTTTAGTCTGCTGTGGAGGCAAAGGGAAGTCCTGAGAACCATCATGTTTGAAATGGCTCATTTCACAGGAGGGGCAAGTGGTGAGTGGAACTGCTGGGCTCTGGGCTGTTTGATGGTGCTTGCTCTTTCTGCTCAGAGCATGGGGATCAAGGAAGGAAGGAAGAGAGAAAGGAAGGAAGGAAGGAAAGAAGGAAAGAAGGGAGCGTTTAGCATCCACACCATCTCTGGGTGCTGGAGTAAACTGGGAACCCATGTAGGCAGTCTGGACCTCTTCTTGGGAGAAGCCTGTTTTAAACAGCATGCTGGGGGATATTCTTCCACCAGAAGAAGAAGGGGAGAGAAGACCTGAAGAAGCAAGTGAGGAATAGCAGGAAAGGCCAGCCCAGGAGGGAGAAAGGACCACAGTGACATGTACCTGTATTGTTCCAAGCTGGCGTGGGTGGCTACAGGGTGCAGCCAGGAAATCAGGACTCTATTCCTACCTCTACAGTCACCTGCAGTGACCTTGCTAGGCTCATTATGGGCAAAAAGAATGGTTGGCATTAAGTGATCTCCAGGGGGCGATTCTCCTCTGACAGGCTGAGGAGAAGGAGGAAGGGCTGTGGGGAATGCCAGTGGCAGCACTAAGATGAAAAATGAACTCAGCTGTAAGTTTATGCATTGCTGGAGTATGGCATGAGGATATTTTATTATCTGGCAGCCATGTGCAAGATGAATTGGACAGAAGTCACAATGTAAAGTGTTGTCAATAATCCATAGCTTTTATATGAAGTAAGAGAACTCATATGTATAAAACAAGGATTGTAGACCTAGTAGTTTTGCACCCAGCCTCTCTGGTTGCTGGTCAGATCATGATCCGCAACCCTTTCATATCACTGAAAGACCACTGACTATATAAATGGTGTGCCAAGCCCAAGAGTGGGTACTGGGGCACAGCACAAGACACACAACAAACCCAATAAAAGACTGTTCCAAGATGAGGCTCTGTGGCTGCCTTGGAAATGCTCATGTTTGTAAGGCAGGAGGCTCTGTGAACTGTCACTGAGACACCAGATTGAAAGCAAAGCACTGGTAACTCTGGGATAGGAGCTGGGAGAACTGTTGAAGAAGGCATCAAGGCTGAGAAAGGTTTCCTCCTGCAGAATAGCTTGATTTGCCAACACCAAATGTGGCCCAAGGCCATCTCTCTCACCACCTCAGGCTGTAGAACCTTTCCCTTTGGACAGTCCTGACAGTACCAGTGTCAGTGCATCGTCAGCACGGGGGTGGGGTGGGGTGTTGTGCATCTGAATTTGCAAAGCCAACTTGCATGCAGGACTCATGAGCAAGTCTGAGACACCCAGAATACCAGGAGAAAGCTGCCGTTGGCCATGTCAGAGGAGCAGCAGGTGGCAATTGAAGTTCAAGGTGTCAGCTCACCAGGAGGAAACTGTCTGATGGGTCAACCTTGGTTAGGCAAGGCTCCAAGACCCCAGACCCCAGAATGTCTTTTGCTTCTGCTGTGCCTTTACATGTTTGCTGCTGCCATCTTTCTCTGGTGTCTGGCATGGCGTGAATGGGTGTGCGGAGATCCCCACTGCCTGTAATGTAGTGTGTTTATCTCATGGAATCATCCTGCTCTATAGGGCAATTTTATCTGTGGATTGTCATGAAGATGATTCTTCCCTAAATTGTACTGTCTAATTGATAATAATAATGATAGCTTATACAGAATTTTGATAAATAAAAGTAAATACAAGGAAATGTTACACAGTTAGGGCCTATTAGTTCCCGCTAAGGAGCTGCATTAGTTCACAGCTCAAGTTAATGATTAAGAAAAACAACTGAGTCCCAGTAGCCCAGCTAGCTTTTAATTCTTTTAACCTTAATGTTGGAAGATGTGTTCACAGGTTTTGGAGTGCATCACACCTGAAAAAAACCTTTGAAAATAACTAAGTTAGACTAAGATGTTTTTGTCAAAAAGCTTTGAGATGAAAAGCCCAAGAAGATAATCTAAAGTTTTAGGAAGGCACATAGCTGAGTGAGGGACTCTAAGGTCAAGGAACAAGAACAAAGGAGCCCAATTATTACTAGCTGACACACTTTTCTTGCTGAACTGGTTAATCACCAAAGGTGCTGATTAATTCCTTGTACCCATTTTCCCCCTCAGTCTCCTGATATAAAAAGCTATTGATGAGTGGGTATGCACCCTAAAGATTTAAAGTAGAGCTGACTGATTCTTTTTCATATATAAAAGTTTAGATTTGTGATTCCTTTAAGATTCCCTATAAGATTACCTTTCAAGATGAGTAATAAAGTAATTGGCTCTTTCTTTGTAACTGCAAAGAAAATGCAGCCTGCCAGTAAAAGACCCGACTGAGAAGAACACCTTGCTTGCCCACGCAGTTGATCTATAACAAGTTGCTTGGGTATGAATGTATGTGGGTTCTTGGGATAATTTGTTTTTCACCTGTAATACATAAAATGTTTAATCATGTAAGGGATATGGAAAACATGCTGTTTTTTACTGTTTGTTTTGTATTCATTGTAATCATTCACTTGAAAAATGGAATGTAGCCACATTGTGATTCCTATATTGCCTGAAAAACTTTGTTGGGGTATATAGCTGTAGAAAAAAAAAAGTATGCAGTAGAGAGAACACAGAAAGAATACAGAGCAGAGGAGAATAAAGAAGGAAACCATCATGAGAGAGTGTGAGTGTCTTTTTCCCTAACCCCCTAATAGAAAAGTATGTGTTTCCACTAGTTTGGCTATTTGTCCCTGTGCTTTTTCCAATCATGGTCTCAATATCTCTTGCTCATATAATCCCTCCTCTCTTTCGCCGATTGGACTCTCCTGGAGCTCCATCTGGAGTTTGGCCGTGGATCTCTGCATCTGCTTCCACCAGTCACTGGATGAGAGTTATATCATGACAGTTAGGTTGTTCGGCCATCTGATCACCAGAGTAGGTCAGCTCAGGCTTTCTCTAGACCATTGCCAGTAGTCAATAGTGGAGGTATCTTTGTGGATTTCTGGGGACCTCTCTAGCGCTCTGCTCCTTCCTATTCCCATGAGGTC